AGTGGGGCTCAACCTTCCTTGAGGTTTCCTGCGACACAATGTAGATGTTCCTCAGAATCTTACTTTTGAAGGGATGGAGTTGAAAAATGTTTTTCCTGGCTCCCATCTTCCATTGACTGAGGATTGTCCAGCAGGTGTTAACGGGCTTCAGAAAAAAGGTTCAGGGTGGAGGGCAGTAATTTGAGATGGGAAGTCTGCTAAGTTCATGGAGACTGTCCACCACCACTGGAGCAGAAACTGAAGACGGACCAGAAGAATATGATAATGATATATATTTGGGGCCTCAGTGGCATCTGCTGCACATATGGTTTCAAATTCTAAAGGGGATATTTTTTACTCTCCATCCAGAGGCCAAGTCACAGCACAAAAGTTTTTGGATTATCTTACTGTGCCAGTGGGAAGATTGTTTTTTAGTTCCATCACTTCACTGAAAACTGATCATTCTGTGGTCCCCAACTTTACAGGGAAGAGTCCGTTGCAACTCATTACCAGGATCCCTACTTCATTTTCTATTCTGATATGAACACTAGAACCAAACTACTAAATTATGTTCCCTTATTCCCGGACGGTAAAGCTACAGCATCAGCTCATAAATTTACCACTCTAATATTCCATCTCATCATCAATCTGAACCATAGAAGTTTCCTTTACTTTACTAAAAGTTCAGCTCTACATTTATAGTATTTGCTTTTCAGTGTTTTTATCCAGTATTTTAGGTATTTTACAATAGAAAGGTACAGTATGTCTAGCCAAACATGTTAGCAAAATGGAAACCCCTGGTCTTCTCTGCTTGATTGTAGTATGGAAATTGTCTGAGGAAAGAAATGTTAGCCTGCCTGACATTGATTTCTAATCATTCCCCAAAGATGAAGAAGGCATTTTGGGTAGAAAGATCCTAATAGTATCCTTAAAATATAATTTTGGACATAATGAGTCTGGGGGGAGGATGAGTGGGTGGGAGCGGCATGCAGGACAAAGCCATTTGTTTTGGCAGCAAAAGTAATTCCCTAATCTTTAGCCTAAGATCGAAACCACACTTAATTTAAGGCTACACAGAAGTAGAGCATTACAGTGATCATCTAAATAATTCATGCCAAAATAAGACATAAGTATGTTTTGCATAAATTATGTAGCTATTTCAGGATACTGTTTATTTTTAGGGAGTATTGGCATAGGGTTAAAATTGCCTCATCACCCTAAATTTCTAAAATTGTAGTCTAAATATATTGTTCTATTTTACATCCTTCTATCAGGAGATAAGCTAAGAAAGCATCTACCCTTCTCCACTTCATTTTATACTTGCCCAAGCTTCTCAGCAAGAGTCCATCTTCCCCTTCTCCTTCTGGAGCTAAGGAAGCTTAGGTCTCTTTACTGTCTCTGACAGGTTATCTCATCTAAATTGTTGATCACAGTTGAGGCTCTCCTTTGATCCTATAAGCTGATGCAAATCGACATACCAAGATTTTTCTGCATCCCCTTGATTCTATAAACTGATGCAAATTGACATACAAAGATTTTTCTGCATCCCCTTGATTCTATAAACTAATGCAAATCTACTTACGAAGATTTTTCTAGTTCTTACTCTTGCTTCTAAAGAAGCCCTAATGTTCGAAAACGGCTAGTGGGTCCCAAGACTGATTGTGCATTAACTATCAGCCCAGGAAAGCTTTTAAAAAAATAGATTCTCCACCCCTAACAGGAAATAGAGTGTACAAGGATGTGGCTCAAGTACTGATAATTTTAACAAACCTTTTACATATAAATTCATTTTAGTCCTGATCCTCAGATTAGCAGTGAGAATCACTAAATTAGAATAGGTGATCTATTGTCTTTTGTCCTCCAGTATTTAGACAAAATCAGGTAAATGTTCTAAAATTAGAGCTCCTTCTGGGGGCTTCGTGTATCTTGGTATAATGTATTCTTTTTCCTTTTTGAGTGAAAGCAAGTTTATTTAGAAAGATACGCATTCCATAGACAGAATGCAGTCCATCTCCGAAGGGAGAGCAGCTGGTATAATGCATTCTTGAATGAACAAGGGAACTATGGTTTAGAGGAAAGAAATCAAAATACTAGTTCCCAAAAAGGGTCCAATCATTAAAGAAAAATAGATTGTTTAGAAGAAAATAGGGCATCTTTAGACAGAGTTGCTAATTTGCTATTTTATTTATTTCTACAATGGTAAGACTGTAAGAATATTATCTTAAATTAGACAAAAGTATAAGGAAATACTTCCCCAGGGTAAAAGATTAGGTAGTATGTCCAGTCATTTTTGTTTGAGAAAACTGGTTTTGTATGTGAGCACAACCTATGTATATTATTTTAGAATTAAAAGGTGACATATTTTGCCTTCACTTTTAATACAATTGCTATACATCAGCTGCACGTGTTTAAAGTTAAAATTGGATGTCTTAAAAATTGAGATATATTTGACATACAATACTATGTAAGTTTAAGGTGTACAACATATTGATTCAATACATTTATATTCTAATACAATTCCTCAGAGAAAGATATAATAAATGCAGATCTAGAAACCAGGAAATCTCACTTAAACATACACATTAATAAGTTTGAAAGGGGGACAGTGGAGGGAAAGCTGATAGTATTAGCACTATTAGTGTCTCGACAGGTATTAATTTAATAGCTGGATAGAAATCTAGGAACATCCATGTTGGGTTAATCTATGAGAAGACTCTGGGGAAAGCAAGGCAAGGAAATGTGGAAGGGCTGACAGACATGGATTTTAGAAGGAGCTTTGAAAGAACATTATAGATTTTAAAAGGATCAGTAAGATTTTTGTTACTCTCCTCCCTTAGTAAAGGGGGAGGGAAAAACTGAGTAATCCTCAGAAGTTCCTCGTGGTCTGGTTGTTTAAACTATGATATTCACAAAATTGCACAGACATGTTCAAATCCACGAGTAATTTGCAAAGTATTGTAGTATTTCCTTACTTCATGTGTGGCATAACAAGATTATTTTGAACTAGGAATATTCAACATTATGAATATGGCATTAATTATAGATTCATATAACCATCTTTATTATGTTTCAATCTTATATAGACACACTTTAGAAATAGAATGTTATTTTTTATTTAAACAAATCTGAGCTGATGGGTTCATAAAACAAAATCTCTTCATCTGCATAATTATCTGATATCCACTACAATTATTTCCTATTAAACGGAAAGGAGGCTGTATAATGTGATTGCTCCATTATAACTAAAAACTTCTTATGCTGCAAATATTCAACATATTTCATGCCATTAAAGTTTTCCCTGTCTTTAATTTTTCTTTGTCTTCATATCCCATATAACCATTTCAACTGTAATAATTCTTTTTCCCCCAACATGGTTTTTCTCATTTGAAGTCATATAGAAATCTAAACAATATTGAAAAATATAAGAAAGAATATTAAGTATATAAATATGACAAGTAATGTTAAAATCACCAAAAATCTCACACGACAGAAGCAAAGTTTTTAACAATTTCTCCCTCTCTCTCTCTCTCTCTCTCTCTATATATATATATATACTGTTCAGAGTCAAACTCCTTTTGAATAACTTAGCCTTAGTGCCAGTCTAACTAAAAATGTGGATGTCTCTCTTTACAGTAATTTTCTTCTTAGAGCCTCTTGAATTTCCCTTCAGTCAAGCACATGTCATTACAATTCAAAATATCAAATATAATTTAATACATTTGAACATGTACTGGGATGCAAAGGAGTATCTGTGCCCAGGTCCAAAAGTCTTCTTACCTTTGCAGAAGCACAGAGACAGATGAGGGGTCTCCACACTTACTCGGCAGAACCGCAGTCACTTAATCCCACCAATGCAGAGCATGTCTAAACTGTGCCTGGGCAGTGTGAGGAGGACCGCAGGGACATGCCAGCACTGGAATCAATGTCCTCTCCTCCACTGCCCATCTCCCTCCATTACCAACAATCTCTAAATATAAGTGTCTTGGAGAATCTTTAATGACTTTGAGAGCAAATACATTTGTCGGTTGCAAATTTGAATCCTACATTTAACAAGTATTTTCCTGAAAAAAATCACAGTGGAACAATATTCATTTTCTTTTACCATTCCTGAACAATAATTTTGAACATCAAAAAAAGCAGCTTTCTGTTTTGTTCTCTAATTATAACCTGAAAGCCACTTTTCCCTAAGGATGTTTATTTTCTTAAGGAAATAAACTGAAGGGATCTTCCTCTTTAGCTATTCACATACAATCTGCTATTTAATTTATGTTGAATTCACGAGGAGTTAGCCAATGTGTTATAACATAGTCTGCTGTTAATAGGGAATGGCAATTCTGTTTAATGATCATTAAATAGCTTTATTGCCAAAATGTATTATCAATACACATTATTAAATTTGCATGGAATATGAAACGCACATTGCATTAATCATCTCTTTTTCATCTTCCCAATATTTTCCCTCTGCACCATTGCACACAAGTGATGCCTTCAGAGATCTGGTTGCAAAGTTACTACCTACTTTGAAGCGCATGTCCACCACAGCTTGGTGAGCACAGCATTACTCAGTTCCCTCACGCCTCTTGTTCCAGACGTTAATCACAGAGGATGAGAAAGCAGATTATGTGTTTTTTTTCCTCTCTGGAAAATTTAAATTCAGACAGAAAACCAATGCCAACATTGTGCATTATCCTCCCAACTAACAGGGAAGGCTAATAACTAAATATAATTTATAAAGTGAATTGATTCTGCCCTGAGCATAACTGCTTTCAAGTTGCAGGAACCTATTTCCAAAATATAGAGTCAAAACAAAATGAAGTTGAAGTACTAATTTCTTTCTTTTTCCTGTTGCATGATTGCTACTCTGTTAGAATTCTTGGTATTTTTTCCCCCTGAGCTGTCATACTTCCATAAAATGAAAGCAAATACGATTCAATCGTAAGAATAAGCACAACCACAGAGGGTGGCTAGAATGATGTAACAGGAGTGACATGGAGATATGATTTAAGAAAAAAAAAACTTACTTGCTTTTAAGCAGTCATTGCAGAATGTATTAGCAAACGATGACAGCTTTCCAATCCTTTTCATGGTTTCCATTATAAACTTTATCTGAGCTCTCCAACACTCTCAGTAGTCCTTTCCAGTTATTGTGACTCGGTGTATTTCTTTATTATGGCACAGAGGTTTGAATGTATACCATTCTTTATTTTTTTCCTAAAATATAAAAATGTAATGATAAAGTTACCTTAAAATTCTTTTTAAGAAAATGATAAATAGAAAGGTTGAGAAACATATCCTTTGAGAATCTGAACCTGAAATCTTAGGTTAAAAAAAGTCTAAAATTGATTGCTGGAAAATGGAGAATTATGAGATATTGCTCAGTCTGTGTGTGTGTGTGTTACATAAAACTGTTTACAAATTTGCTTTCATTTCATTTTCATATTTCCATTAAAATGAAGTATTTTCCCAGAAGACTCTGTAGTTTGCTAGGAACTCATAAAATTAGAGGCTAGAAGAACTAAAAAAGAAATGAAGAAAATCACTTTAGTTCCTCTTTATTACCTATAACAGCATCACATAATAGTGATGGAACAGTAGCTCTCATTTTGATCTTTTGAAGTCCTATATGTGTACTGTATTTCACCTTTAGCCATCATAGTTGTGTTTGCTAAGGATTCATTATATTCTTTTGAGCAAATATATACAATAATTTGACTTAAATGTTATTTTACTTGTATTCAACTCTTATTGTCTTTAGTGATATTCTAAAGCCAAAATGGGAAGCATATCTCTGGGTCAACTGGTGCTCAAACGATAGTATAAAAAATATTAGGCACATTTGGGCATGAAGTATATATAACTCAGTGATTATTATTGTATTTCAGATTGCAGTACCCCTTTTTGTGCATATGGTATCTCGTAACTTATAAATATTGTGAATGTTCTTATACATAGGTAGCTTGCTTAATTGCCATTTTAGACCACAGACAAAGATATATTTCTAAAAAACTAAAATTTGTCTCCTTAGTTCTTTAGCAACTTAGTTCCATAAAATAATGGAGAAAAAAGAATATGTCACTACACACACACACACACAGATACACATATGACTAAGCTGTCTCAATTTGGGCACTCCACACATGCTTTGTAACTTTCTATCTGGTTGTAAATAATTGACTGATATATTGAGATGAACTGTAATTCAATAATCAGATACCTTTTATTTGCCCATGCCTGCTTTGTTTCTAATTGGTACCCACAGAGTGAAATCTGGCCCCAGCAACTAACTACTGTCTTGAAAGCACGCCCCAGTGCCTGCTGCAAAATCTCTCCTCGTTTAACACATGCCTTTGTGTTATCAGGTCTGCTGTACTTTCCTCTGCCTATTTTAGGGATATGCTTGTTGTCTACAGATTGATCTGGCCAACCCTAGCAGCTGAGGTTCCACCTAGAGCTTATGGTTCTTCCCCCCCAGAGATATGCCCTAGATTTCTGTGAGATACTCAGATTACATTTGCTAATTTACTTCCCTGGAGGTGGTGAGAATTCTGTCTAGACCAGTTTTAGTGACTTCTACTCTATACTTTTTACTCTCTTGCCAATTGAACCTTGATTCTGAAGGAATGTTTGTTAGTTAGTTTGTTTGTTGAACTGTGATATGCCAGTCACTGTAATCTCTTATTTTACAAAGGTGTTTGCCAGAGCAGACCAAGTAATAATGAGTGTCTGAGTCCTGTGGTTCTAAATTATAATTTATTTTGGAAAAAAAGCTGTTTTGAAGGTATCATCCTATTGCAGAAAAGTACTTAGATACTGTTGGGCTTTGTCTCCATGTTGTACTTCTCCAATTTAAATATAACCACCTTCAAGGAAGAGACCATAGCAGACAAGGATGAAAAGCATATAGCTCTGGATTGGGTCAAATGGGACAGCAGATTCCAGCTCACATTAGAGGGTACTTTTTAACAGCCAGACCTACTCCAAATGGAATGAGATTAACTCAAGAACAAGTGAGTGAGCTTGAAGATATTAAAATATAGATAAGCCAGTCAGTGAATGGTGATGCTACATGCGAGTCTTCAGATATCAGAGCTGGCATGGTTTAGGATACGATCTCCAAGATAATTCCCAACCCTCTGATTTTATAATATTGTGCAATAGTAAAAGCGTAACCAAGGTTATAAACCCAACTCTTTCCACGTGCCATAGGCCCTTGCATAATTTGCTAAACTTTTCTTATCCTCAGTACTCTCATGTGTAAAAATAATAATGCTTTCTTTCAGGCTATAGTGAAGGTTAAAGAGAAAGTTTGTAAACTTCTCAGACACTTTATTTGTAGGTAGTGTTATAATTTCATTATAACTGCTGTTAAAAGTATTTGATAAGACTTTAAAGGCCACCTATTTCAAACACTCCTTCAAGTGATTAAATTTTCTTTACAAACTATTGTTTTATTCTTCTTAATGTTGTCACTCTAATGCCCCTGGTTATTCTGGGATAAAATATAGTAAGACTGTCTTCTCTTGTGCTCAAAATATAACATAAATGTGTATATTTTTAGAAACCATGTACCATTATTGACTAATTTTAAGATTTCTGCAAACTAGGATTTCAAAGACTTTTAAAATATTCTCTGCTGCTAAAATCCAGCTGTCTTATCTTCCATAGGCAGGTTTTTTTTTATTTTAACCCAAATTTATTTGATTTTATCTTGTTAAATCTATAACCAGCATAATAAATAAAATAAATTATTAATCCAAACTATTGATTAAAGGTGTTGAACAAGATATATGTAAACACAAAGCTCATGGTGGCAGCCTCTCTCCAATTTGAAAAATGAATCATTCATTAAATGTCTTTGAGTGAAATCTACTAACCATTTGTTAAATATTCATATTTTGAGCTAGCACAGAGTGAGCATATTTGTTATATGAGTAAAAAGTAAGGATGCTGAACTTTTGGATAAAGAATTTGAGGTATGATCACTGAATGATTACAAATGCACACTTCATAGTTCAGCACAACACTCTGGTTTAACCACTTATTCTTACAGTAATAGTTATGAGAAAAGGATGCTGTTCATCATGAAGAGAATGGTTTTACCATTTGTATAACTGTAATAAAAGCTTCATGTAAGACAACTAACTTGTATAAAAAGATGTCTATAAAATAATATCAAGAATAAAAGTTTTCACCAGCACAAAAGGATTAAAAAATATAGAGAAGACCGTCCATATGGTGTACAAAACAGCCTACAAGTTAACTCTAGCGCTGATATTGGAAATACTGGGAACGTCAGCTGTCCACCCTTGAGTAAGATAATAGGCATGAGAACAATGGTTAACATTTGAATTTAGATAAATAGACTAGTTCTGAAAACATCATGAGCTTGTAGAATATTTCTACAGAACATCATGCTTCACATTTTGAGTGATAAACATTCATTCTCCTTTAAGAGAAGTAAAGCAAAGCATTTCTGAAGAAAACAGTTGTCAGGATGAAAACATAGGTATCTGGACCTATGCAAAAATCTATGTCAAAATCCAACGAGAAAAATTGAAGTTGTCTGATGCCCGAAAGGATATACGCTTTAAAATCACAAGTGAAGCCAAAAGAGTTTATTTCCTCTGCATTAATGATGATCTTTATGCATAATTCATTTCACAAGATCAAAATGTCAATCAAGCTTACAATTTAGAAACTCCATTATTTCTAAAATTCAGGATGGTAATTTTTACCATCTTTGAATCTGTTTTTAAAAGAATATGACAGAGGCTTTGAATATAATTTCAGAGAAAACATTTAAAATGTTTAGAACAACATTATTCCATAAATGTATTTATGTATAACTACATGTATTTAATTTATTCTTGTTTCCTTTTCCAAAAAGATTTTAAATGCAGGAGAAGCATATTTTGAAGAAGTTGATAGCCTTTCAAAGAGACTAGTACCTTAAAAAGCAGTTATTTCTTCATTGTACAAGCGTCTGGACAGTTTATTTTAAAAATTATTGGCATTAATTCTCAAATGTATATGAATTACTTTAAATATGACTTTAAGACAGTAAACACCATAAAGAGAAACAATTTTATGGTTGAATTAATGTGTACCCACTCTTTTTTTCTTATTATATAGATTAATTAACATTCTCAGTAATTTGCTTGCTATTATATTATTATGAAATTTTAAAAGTGTTTATGTCACCTAAAAATTATGGGGCTTCAGTAACAGTTCATCTTTATTTAAATAATTCCTGAAATAGAATTAAATGTTTTAATGGACTTCTGCAAAATTAGCTGTTAATAATCTATTTTTAACTATAAGTAAAAGGGTTTTATTTTCCATTTTATTTTTTAATAACCCACAAAACAGACAAAAATTTTAACATAGTAATTATTCATCTGGCATTTCATTTTAAATTCCATTTTATAGGAACTGGCCATTTTATTCTGATAGGCTATTAACATTAGGGCAGATAAATTGAGTTTTATTAATAAATGTGTATATCTCCATGAAAATAGGGTGGATTAAGGAAGAAAGCATTATGACTTGTATATGTGATATTTTTATGCAATAGTTCCAAGTAAACTATTTTATAACCAAAGTGTTTTAAACTGCTCTACTTTGTTGTCTCTTTTTTTTTAACCATGTAAGTCACCATATAGTAGAATGGGACACAGAAAAGTGTTTGAATATCAAAGCTGACTTGTCTTGAAATCATACATTATTGTGTTAATTGTTTTATTTTAATAGTCAACAAGATTATATTTTTAATTCATTCAACAAGTCTTATTATTATCTACTAAGTGCCAGGCATGATTTAGGATCGGGAGATACCCCAGTGAATAAAACATTTTAAATCATTCTTGTCTTCAATCTTACATTCTACTGTGTATGTTTAGTTAAATGGGCTGGAGGTGAATGTCAACTTCCTTGTACACGACAGATGTGTTGGTGCTGCTTGACAGCTCCAACTTCTTGATGCAGCCTTTCTTGCCTCTACTTCTTTACCAAATTCCTTCATGCTTCTTCACTTCTTTTTTACCTACTTGATGTTAGTCTCCTTTGTTAACCCTTCTTTATAGAACATAGGAAAGAACTCGTTAACAACTTGTAAACAATAAAGCATTAATGAGTGGTGGCATTTCATGGATACCTGTTTTATTCCCCCTAAACAGACAAGTTTTACAATTAAGGTTAGAATTCCTGAGGCT